AAAAAAATTTTCAATTATTGTTTATATAGATTATTAAATTTTTATTTAAAATTATATCTTAAAATAAAAAATTAAATTAAATTTATTAAAAATAAATAAACAAAATATTAAATAAGTAGATGTTTATAAATACAAGTTCATACCTCCCATTAAGTGAAAAAAAAAAAAATTGATATGCACAGCAACTATTATCAACCAAAAAATATCAAAGGTGAGTCCCATGGATGTCTAGAATTGCCCCTTGACATTGCCCTTTTGTATTGGGTTTTTTGTTTTTTGTTTTTTGTTTTTTGTTTTTTTTTTTTGATAAGGGTAATGGTTAATAGTTAGAAGTTATGAGATAGGTTAGTACTTTACTCTTTGTAAGATTCGACTACTGATCAGGGATGCAATTCATCGACAGTCCTGTTGGGCTGCAGTGGTCACTAATAGGCTACAACAGGAGAATGCAGTTTTTTGTATTTTTACACAAAACTACAAAGCCATATTCATGTTCTATTCCTAAACTATTCATTTGATTTTAGAGAGACACAAGCTCAGTTTTTTAGTCATTTCAGATTTGTGTAGCCATAACACTTCAGTGATTGCTATTTTTCATCGTGCCATCAAGGCTATCCAAGCAGCGGAACAAGCCTTGCATGCTCTAAGTCGGTTAAGTTTGGCCATGGAGTACAAAAGAAATTCTAAGAAATAAAAAGAAATTAAATTAGAAGAGTTTTTATTTGATGAGTTGTGACTTTGGCTAGAACTAACCTGAGATGAAAAATACTTTGGTCTCAATAATTTTACTTAACTAGCATACGAGAACACTTTACTTTAGGTTTACTCCTAATTTTCTATTTTGGCTAATGGAAAATAAAACTAATTCTAATTCTAATTAATGCTTTCAAAAATAAAACTTAAACCAACGACTTAATTGAATTTGTAATTTATAATTTCAAAACTTTGACGGAGTCAAGATCAACAATTTCAACTCAGTATGTAATAACTAAACACAAACTTGTGTGCAAAAAGAAAAAGAAAGGGGATAAATTAAGGGGTGACAATTTCAACTAAGATCTAAGCACATAGATTTAGTAATCTATCAACCATCCTACATTGACATTTAATCAAACATGACCGAGGTAGTTATAGTTTGTCAAGAAGGAAAAATATTCTATCAATATGTTGTATTTTATTTTGGGCCTCATATATGTATTCATACAAGGGGATAAACTGCAATTATTTTTATTGGTAGAAAAGGTTTCATTTATTGCTATCTTTCACATTCTATCTAGTCTATCCTTTTTTTGTTTCATCCAAAGGTGCACAACTTGCATGCAATAACTTCTAATGAGGCCTCTCACCTGTCACCATGGTACGCAACTTGCGTGCAATGACTTGCTACTTGCGTGCAACAACTTCTAATGAGGCCTTTCACCTATCACTAGGGTACACAACTTGCATGCGATAACCACTAATGGGGCCATGCAATAACTTCTAATAGGGCCTCTCACCTGACACCAAGTCACACAACTTGCATGCAATAACTTCTAATGGGGCCTCTCACCTGTCACCATGGTACGCAACTTGCGTGCAATGACTTGCAACTTGCGTGCAACAACTTCTAATGAGGCCTTTCACCTATCACTAGGGTACACAACTTGCATGCAATAATCACTAATGGGGCCATGCAATAACTTCTAATAGGGCCTCTCACCTGACACCGAGTCACACAACTTGCATGCAATAACTTCTAATGGGGCCTCTCACCTGTCACCATGGTACGCAACTTGCGTGCAATGACTTGCAACTTGCATGCAACAACTTCTAATGAGGCCTTTCACCTTGGTTAAATGCTTAATTTGGTTTTTTAACTTTAAGAAATGTATATTTTTGATCCCTCAACAATTTTTTGTACTTTTTTGATCCCTCAACTTTAATAAATGCACACCGTTAGTCATTCTGTTAATTTCGGTTGTTAACTCCGCACATGTGGCATTTTTTATATTTTTTTTGATGATGTGGAACGTAAAATTTAAAAAAGTAATGACAAGACAAAACGTTTTGCCATGTTCAAACGAAAAACATTTTCTCAGCATCCAAACACCCTTCTAGCCAAACAAATGAAAACCCACTAAGAATTACTTCTTTACCCATTAATCACTGCTTCTGTTCTTTCCATTGCCGGCGATGTTCTTTCCATTTTAAACATTGAAATCATTTCAACGATACTTAAGAAATATGAAGAAAAGGATCTCAAAAATCCCTCACAACCTGCAATTTACATAAAAATCTTCAAACAAACATATAACAAAAAAAAAAAAAAAGAAGAAGTGGAGCTGGGTTCACCGAACCCAGCAAATCTGGGTTCGAGGAACCCACCAATTAGGTTCCATCGAACCTGAGCTGGGTTCGATGGAACCCAGTTGCTAGGTCCCTTGAAACCAGCCATCTGGGTTCAAGGGAACCCAATTGCTGGGTTCGGTGGAACCCAGCAACAGAGGAAGAAAGAAGAGGAAGAAAGAAGAAAAAAAAAAAAAAAGAAAGGAAGAAGATGAGGTCGAACTTTTTTATTTTTTATTAAAAATATAAATCCTAAACAAATTTAATTTATGAGTTGTCATCGAACACGTCATCAAAAAAAATTCCAAATCAACACTTTTTAATGTTGTTTTTGCCATGTCATAAAAAAAAAACATAAAAAATGCCACATGGCGGAGTTAACGATCTAAATTGACAGAAGGACTAATGGTATGCATTTCTTAGAGTTGAGGAATCAAAAAAGTGTAAAAAATTATTAAGAGACCAAAACTGTGCAACTCACTAAAATTGAGGGATCAAATTTAGCATTTAACCTTTCACCTATCGGTACACAACTTGCATGCAATAACCACTAATGGGGCCATGCAATAACTTTTAATAGGGTCTCTCACCTGACACCAAGTCACACAACTTGCATATGGAAGTTATAATGAATTTTTGATTAATTTAGAATTGAATCGAGTCACAACCTATAAAAAGAAAAGTTCTTTTAATATTTATTTTTTTATTTATAAGATTCAAAATTAAGTTCTTATCAAAAGAAAACTAAACTCCTACTTAAATTAATAGGTCATTGATGTCATCAAGGGTAGATAACCAGATACATATGCACCTATGGTGCTGTTTTTTTTTTTTTTTTTGAGAAGTTATAATTATGGATGGAACGTTTATTGCTTTTTATTGAGTTGCCTTTTATAAGAGGGAAACTCTCTCTGTACTTAATTTTTATTTATAAGATTTGAACTTAAGTTATTACTGAGAAAACTAAACTCCTATTTAGACCAATAGGTCATCGGTATTAGTAGGGATAGATAACTAGATACATATGCACCAATCATGATGTCTTCTTCTTCTTCTTCTTCTTTTCCCTTTTTTTTTTTTTTTTTGAGAAGTTATAATTATTGGTGGAACTTTTTTTTATTTGGCCTACAAATTACAAAGAAAATTGAAAGAGTTAAGTAAGACTCAAAAAGTATTGGTGTTAATGATATCCAGCGGTTTCAGGTAGGTCGAGGCTAGAACAAACCAATCTTGGTTTGGAAATTACTTGACTCACATTAGCTCACATAAGTCGGTCTTGGTGTTTACTTGAGACTAGTTCAATTTAGACTAAGATTGTTCTATTTAAGTTTTTTAAAAATAAAA